CTCATGCGAGTCTCCTGCCTCCACCTCCCAAGTAGCTGGGACCACAGGCGCCTGCCACAACACCCGGCTATTTTTTTTGGGTTGCAGCCGTCATTGTTGTTTGGCTGCCCGGGCTGGGAATTCGAACCCGCCACCTTGGGTGTACATGGCCGGTGCCTTAGCCACTTGAGCCACAGGCGCCGAGCCGAAGTAGATTCTTTTGAGGTTAAAACAGGTAGCATTCTGGGCATATTTCAAAATGATTTCTTTTCCTATCTCTACAGTGTTGGAGACTGACTTGTCCTGTGACCTCAGTTCTATCAGAGTTGTTGATAGAAGAGTTGTTGATTTTCAGTTTATTTGCTTTTTTGAGGATGAGTATGATGACTTCTAAATTCTTTAAATGACAGACCACAGACCAAACTCCCTGGTTTTTTGTTTTTTGGTTTTTGGGTTTTGGTTTTTGTGGTGACATTATCTCATTTTGTCTCCTGGGTAGAGTGCTATGGCATCACAACTCACAGCAACCTCAAACTCTTGGGCTGAAACAACCCTCTCGCCTCAGCCTCCTGAATATCTGGGACTATACACGCCCACCACAGACCCCAGTAGTTTTTCTATTTTTAGTGGAGATGGGGGTCTTACTGTTGCTCAGCTGATCTTGAACTCCTAAACTCAAGGGATCTACCCATCTTGGCCTCCCAGAGTACTAGGATTACAGGTGTGAGCCACTACACCCAGCCTAAACTCCCTGATATTTGGCTACTGATAGCCTGAGAGCCTTATGCCTTCTTCTTTCTCTTATCCCGACACTTGTGTACCAGATAAGTAAACCTGGGTTCTCTCTCCAATGGGAGGGCAAAAGTCATTCACTTCACATAAGCCCCTACTTTTTGTGTGGGAACTCTCACCCCGAGTTACCCCATAACCTCAATAAATATCCAGACCAGGCTCTTTTCTTGGAGCTCTCAAGACGGTTCATACTTGCCCAAGAATCCTACCTTGAGCTTCCCAGAGACTTGGTGATGAAAACAATAAGCCCTTTTATACTGCATTGGAATGTGTGTGATGTTATCAGCGTCAGTATAGAATGTCTGAGACAATCCTTTCATAGGATCCAGCTGCCTTTGCAAGTGATTATAACAGTTATAGAAAAGAGAAGATGTTGTCTGTATTGCACTGCACTTTGCTTAGTTGTTTCATTGACAATTCCCCAATATTTTCATATCAGTACATGCCACCCTTTAAAATAAAGGGTATATATGATGGTGGCTTTATGTAACTGATTATTTTCTAATTAGACACCTGGTGTCTTTCCAATTCTTGCTACTAAAACTAGGAATTAAAACACAGATTGGCACATAGTAGGACTAATAAACACAAGTTATCATGAAATATATTTAGAAAAGAGCAATAACATTTTTTGTGGCACATCTTGATAGCAATATAAAATGTCCTTGGAAGTATCCTCAAAATTTAAAAATAGGGCCAGGCACAGTGGCTTACATCTGTAATCCTAGCACTCAGGAAGCTGAGATGGGTGGATTGCCTGAGCTCAGGGGTTTGAGATCAGCCTGAGCCAGAGGGAGACCCTGGCTCTAAAAAATAGCGAGGTGTTGTGGTGGGCACCTATAGTCCCAGCTACTCAGGAGGCTAATGCAAGAGAATCTTTTGAGCCCAAGAATTTGAAGTTGCTGTGAGCTGTGACACCAGAGCACTCTATTGAGGGTGATAAAGTAAAACTCTGTCTCAAAAAAAAAAAAACAATAAACAAAAACAAATTGTTTTTTTGAGACAAAGTCTCACTGTGTTGCCCTCGGTAGAGTGATGTGGCATCACAGCTCACAGCAACATTAAACTCTTGGGGTTAAGCGATTCTCTTGTATCAGCCTCCCAAGTAGCTGGAACTACAGGC